AAATGTCCAGAAAAGTTACATTTATTCTCTCTAGATCTTGTTTTGATATATTTAGATGCTAAATTGGATCATATACAGTATTTCAGTCCATTCTGTTTTCTTCATTTTTTTATTTCATAATTTTCTAGGTAATGTAGAACTGGATGTAGGGGTATGTGACTGTGAAAGTTTAGAACATGTAGATGATCTGCCAAAGTGAGGAGATTGTAGAATCGTTTAGATTACATTCTATATTCCAAAAAAAAGGAAATTAAAAACAATCCACTGGACTTTGTCCCCAACTTCCCCATCCAAGAAGAGAAACGAACTTCAACTTTAAACTTGGAAACAAAGTCCAGTGCAATGTTTTTAATTTTCTTTTCTTTTGGAATGGCTATGACCTGGATGACTGAGAATCTTCACCAGCATACGTCACATTCTATAAATTGCAGTTCTATGCGGATCCACCAAAATACCAGATATACTATGTAGTCAACCTGAATGACCAAACATGGCAAATAAACCGTTGTGACTCACTTTCTTACCTGCCTCTTTGTTTGTGTGTAGCGCTAGCTGAGAGCCAAACAGAGGAGTTGGGTCATTTGGATTAATAGACACATATAGCTGAGTATCATCAGCATAACAGTGGAAATTAATCCCATGCTGTCTAATAATTCTATCAATAAGCAACATATACATATTAAAGAGAATTGGTCCTAGCACTGATCTCTTTGGTACCCCAGAAGTAACCCTTAAGCATGAGGAAGATTTATCATTAACGTGAACAAACTGGTTAAATCATATCTGTTTGAGCAATTTCAGTCTAGAGCTGTTCTTTTAATTCCCACTAAATATTCAAGTCTTTCTAAAAGAATATTATGGTCAACTGTATCAAATGCAGCACTAAGATCTAACAGGACGAGCACAGATACAAGTCCATTATCTGAGGCCATGAGGATATCATTAGTGACTTTCAGCAGAGCTGTTTCAGTGCTATGATGAGCTCTAAAGCCAGACTGAAACTCATCCCAAAAGTTCATTATGGTGTAAGTGGTCGCACATTTATTTGGCAACTGCTTTTTCAAGAACTTAAGATAACAAAGGAAGATTGGATATAGGTCTATAATTGACCAAGTCATCTGGGTCAAGAGACGGTTTTTTAAGCAGAGGTTTAATTACAGCAACTTTAAAAGCTTTAGGTACATATCCCTGTAACAGAGATAGATTAATCACATCTAAAATGGAGGAGGAGATCAAA